TCCAGTTGCGTTCTTGACGCGTTTGTAGTGTTCCAGTGCGTTCCAGACCAGACAAAATGTGACACGCAGTATTTTGCTGGTCTGGAACTGACTGTGGTGGTGTGAACTGAGGCCAAGAAGACCATAGGGAAACATTGGGATGCATTTTAGGTCCAGAAACAGTCTGGTCTGGAGGTGATCTGGAGGTGGTGTGAATGGGCCCTTAAAAGCAAACTATGAAATATTGCTATAGGAAATATAGAAAGGTCAGATTTCATAAACAAGGTCTTTGCAAGAATAGGCTCCAGTCATTAGGCTAGTCATACACACTTGGATTTCTCTTGTTTCACCCGTGTGTGGATGAGGTGATCTCCATTGCAGGTTATTGTATTCAGACACTTGCAGAATCCTTGGTTGGGGGGACAGTAATGATCAGTCATCTATCCTAGGCAATTCATTATTTCTTTGTGGTTAGGTTGAATAGTCAGGGATAACCCACAGGCATACAATTCTTATAAGCTATATTCAAGGAAATTGCTTTAAATCTATGGGTACTTTAGCTCAGCCTTTCTCAACCATGCTGCCATGGCACACTGGTGTCCCCCCTGGCCTCCTCAGGGGAGCCTCCAAACTTTGTGGTAGTGGGACTGTGATGTGAAGGGCTAATGACTGATATGAAAGTGAGGCTTCTAATATGAAAGGAGGGCTCCTGATGTGAAAGGAGTCTACTGATGCAAAGGGTGACTTTGATGTAAAGGGGCATTTTGATGTGAAGGGGGTAACCTACTGTTTTTGGGTGTTGCTGCGTGGGTTCCCCCTTAAAATCTGACATTTTAGACTTGGGTGCCTTGACTTTAAAAAAAAAAGTAGGGCTGGTAATGATTAAAATTTTCCTGTTCGATTAATCGAAATGTTTTTAAATCGATTAATCGATTAATTATAACGCACATACAGATCCAACTACATTGGCCTATACAAAAAAAAAGGTTGAGAAACGCTGCTTTAGCTTTCTCTTACTGCAACAAAGCATATTGTTTGCATGCATTGAGCTGTTTCATGGATAGGTACATCTCTTCAGTTTAATGCATGTTCTCAGGATCCTCTATGGCTTCTTTGATGAACTAGGTAGATCTGATTGTGTCTAGGATCTATTAATAGAGCTTATCTCACAATAGAGTTTATAGATTGTAATCTCCTTGACCGCTGTGAATGTGCACTATGTAAAGCGCTACGTAAATTGTCGGCGCTATATAAATACCTGTAAATAATAAATAAATCGTCTGTATGATCATTTTTTGGAGTTTACAATGGCGGGTGCTGTGTGTGTTTATGAACTGCTCCCTCTAGTGTCACAGTGGAATACTTCAGCCTGAGAACGCTGCTGGCTTTCTTAATGTGCTGTCATTCCAGGGCACTCATATGGCCAAATGTTTTTATGGATTTGTTGTCTGTGTTTTTCAGGTTTGGACATGGAATATTTATGGTTTGTCTTGAAAGCATCTATAAGAAGATTACAGGAAAGGAACTGAAGTATGAGGTTTTAATGGGCAAGCCCAGCGAGGTGACTTACCACTATGCAGAATACCTCATCCGATCCAAAGCGGCGAAGATGCAGTGGAATAATCCTATCCAAACACTCTATGCTGTTGGGTAATGTAATCTTTTAGCTTCAGCTATTGTAGGTGCAGCAAATGTTTGATGTATACCTGTGCTCAGTGGTGTCACCACTCTCTAAAAAGTCGGGGACTTGGTCATGGACCGGGAGCCCGACAGTGTCAGGAGAGACGAGGGGACCTGGCGGCATACCTAATCCCGCCGGGTGAACGTCCCCTCCTCTTTCAGATGGTCACGCATGCGCGATCACGTCACGCACACGTGCGCTGACGTAATCGCGCATGCGCGTGGTGACATAACGTGCACTGACGACGCGGCGGGGTGTCACCCGGTCTAGTAACTGAGTGACACCCGGACTTGGGACGCCCCGTCTGTGGTGTTATATTCGTTACTATTTGTTTTAAAATTAGCATTTTCATCCAGTGCATTTATTCTTATAGACTTGCAGATTTGAATAAAATGCACATTTTTTTTAAAATTGTATTTAGGAAAAAAAAAATGCTATTTCCATACTAGGGATGCACCGATACTAGTATAGTAAGATACTAGTAAGCCAACTTCCTAGCGAATCAGCATAGAGTTGGCCAATCAGAAAGCCTTGTGGCAGATAATGACCCACCTCCCAGCTTCCTGATTGGCTGGGAAGCCGGCTTCCCGGCCAAACATCATGGAGCTGGCTTCCTGGGCAATCAAGAAGCAAGGCAGTGGGTAATGACATGCCGCCTGGCTTTCTAATTGGCCGGGAAGCCGGCTCCATGCTAGCAGAAGTACTGGTATTGGTACTCGGTATCGGCGAGTACCAAAAGATAAATATCGGTATCTGTGCATCCCTATTCTTTACAGATGAATGGAATTGCATGTAAATCATTGAAAATTCGTATTAATACAGGCTATACCCTTTAAATAAAAAAGTGCACTTGAAAATGCATGTAAAGATATGCAACTGTCACCCAGCTGTAACGTTGCTGCAGAATCAGGGGTGTGGAATTCCTATCGCACGACGCCCGGGACATGCAGTTTGGGGCGCCGGGTGAGTAGTTTTTTTGTACATTTAGCCCTGCTCCGGACAAGCAGAACTAAATGTACAGCGTGGAGCCACTGCTCGTTTTTCTAATTGGATCACTTGTATCAAATCGAGCAGCAGTGATCCTATCCGGGCCCCCCTGCCTTGGTTTTCGGGGTCCCCCGCTCCTCTAGGGGACCCGTGACCACGGCACATGAGCTCACCATAGAGCCCGTAGAGCAGACGAAGAACGTCTGTTCTTCGTCTGCTCTGTGTGATCACTGAGACTGGAACACTGTAATCACAGCGCCACCTGTCTCAGCGGTCAGGAACTGCACAGAACATCTGTTCCCTGCTGGAGGGCATGCTCCATAAAGAGAACCTGTCACCTCCAAACTATCACATAGGGGTTTTTAATCCCCTATGTGATAGGAATAAAATTAAGTGGAAAAAAAGAAAAGTAAATAATAAAAAATTAAGTTATAAAAAAAAGTAAAAAGTAATAAAATATATAAAAAATAAAAGGGATAAAGTAAAATAAATAAATAATTAAAACCAACCCCGCTGCCCCCGCCATCTGCATGCAAATAAACGCACGCGTAGGACATGTGTGTGTGCGTTGAGTGCTGCGCTATTCCACTGTGTGCCATATTGTGGTAGCCAGGCAGCAGAACTCTCCTACACGCACAATGTGCATTAAAGTGTAAGTTCACTTTCCCAAGTAATATGGGAAAATGGAATTACCCAATCAAATCTGGCCCAGTCTCTCCCAAACACCCCCACCCACCGGCTATACTTACCTTTCAGCGAACAGTCCTTACCCTCCGCCAGCACAGGTGTACTATCTGTACCCCGTACTGCTGTCCAGCGCGGTCCTGCCCTATGCATTTTGAATTTTGCTCGCAAATTGCAAGCACTCATTGGTCAGCATGGTCAGGTGACCACGCTGACCAATGAGAAGCGCTATTTAGCACAGTCAAATAGAGTTTTGATTAGGGATGCACCAATACAGAGTATTTGGACGAGTACTTGTAGCTGCAGCTGTTTTGGGGCTTTTGGATGTCTACACAAAGGAGACTTTTACAGGTAAATAACACGCCTAAAACATGTTAAATGCATATATCATCTTAGGGGAAGATTTCTACCCCTGCACTAACACAACAAGAAAGACGAGAGGAAGAACACAGACTAATACAATGTGACAAAAACCTTTGTTACATTCTGTCTCAAGTAAAAAATAGAATGAATCTGCTTTTTTAAATGCGATACCAAAATACACTTACCCCTCATTGGTAAAGGACAGTGTTCTCCTACCCTTCCCTTCTCTACAGTACAGGCGTGATATTCCAGCAGGTTTTCAGCTGCAGTGTGACCTTTGTTTCTCTTATTTTACAGGGACAACCTAATGACCGATATCTATGGTGCTAATCTCTACAACCGCTACCTTAAGGAGCGAACTTCTACCAAAGACTCCGAGGCACTAGTGCAGGCCGGCACTGGAGCCCGAGTCACAACCGTTTCTCAGGATGTGGAGGCAGCATGGGAAAGTGAGCTGTCCTGCCCTGGTGCCACTCATTGTAAGTCTGTTCTGGTTTGCACTGGGATCTACAACCCTCACGCCGAAGTGCCTGCTGACCCCACACAGTCAGTTACTGAAACAGTATTTCATGGTCACCGGGATTTCAGGATCGACCCTGCCTTGGTAGAACCTGGCCATATTGTTCCGGACGTTAATGCTGCAGTTGACCTGATCTTCCAACTAGAAAAGTTTTTGCCATCCAGCGACTCCAGGACCAGCTAGAGATTTCTCTATTTATATATGATTATATATATTTGACACTATCAGGATATTACGACTCCTCTAACCTCAAACACCTTTCGATGTTCGTTAGTTGTACAGCACTTTACTGTGTCCCCTTTTCTTTTTTTCTATTTCTATGATCTTTAAGGCCTTTGAAATAATACATTTGTGCTTTTATCATTGTTTTTAAATGTTCTAGTCTATATTTATATTGTTTTATTTGAAACATTAGGTGACTGAGGGCCCCAAACCTTTTTTTCTTTGGTAAAGGAAACATTTGCCAAACCTAACCTAAGTCCCCTTCCACCTTCCTTGTGGCGTTTGTGACTTTGTTTAAAAAATGATATATATTTTAGTTTCTGATTTGTGACTTGTGGTATTTTAGGCACAAATTACTCACCTGTTGCCTATTAAACAATCCATAGCGACCTTGATACAATCATAGGGGGCATGTAAATGACTTCGATCTCTTGTTCCCGCTGTTTACCCCGGTTCCTTAAGGGCAATCTGTGAGCATAGAAAAACTTTAGCTGCCATGGTCCTGTTTTTGGTACAGGCCGTAGGCCTATTATGAGTCATTGATCTGGAACAGGAATGCAGGATAGGAGTTCAGATGCCACTGACTATGTGCTTGTTTCAGGGCAGCAATTCACTAGATCATGAAATCCAGATGACTGCTACTTTTTAAAGCAATCGCCAACGGCATCTTCCAGTTTCTCCTGGCTGGAGAAAGCACTGCTGCAACCTATGGTGGCCATGCCTAGGCATTTTGTCAGGTGATATCTGCTGAAGGGGAGGATCAGCCCCTCTGGTGATCTTCAACAGAGGTCACATGACCAAACATAGAGGGCTTTAGTCATGTGAACACCTGCCATGGTATCCTTGAGCTGTGGTTTCTTGAGCCAAGCGTGCCATTCTGTGGCTTTGGCTACTGTAAGAGCTCTGCATGGTGATTTATACATCGAAATTGGTGCTGAGAGACTGAACCACTTCACCTCATAAGGCTAGAAGTACAAAGGAGATTTTAATTGGCTCACATTGAAAAATTCCAAGAAATAATCCTAGCAACTGATCTCTAAACTGGTGGAACAAATGGCTTCCTGCGGGGAAGTAGCATGCAATAGCATCTTGTAATGATCAGTTGTACATGATGAGAGCATTGTGCGATTACAAGGTATTGATAGCTTCTACATACTACTTGTGTAGCTTACATTTGTAGCGATCATTTGTTACTACAAGTGACTTTAGAAGTGCAGTTTAGCTTTTGAATATCTCCTGTGTAGCCTAATGATGTGACTGCCAGCAATGGTTATGTCTCACTTCTGTAATATTAGAGACTGTCACCTTGCCCATGCAAAGAAAAGTGACAGTGTCTCAGCAAAAGGCCCCAGACCCCTTTTTTTTTTTTACTGACCTTACCCTTGCTCCCTTACCACTTCTTCCTCCTCTGCAGCCAGCACTTAAATGATCCGTGTTGGCGTCTTTGGAAAACTGAGACTTCACTCCCCCTTTTTATATGACAGTTCTCGGGTTTAGTGATTGGCTGCCAGACCCCAGCACTGTCACAGGAGGGTGTCACACACTCCCACATATCTCAAAGAGCTGGGTATTATCAGCTGCCCAGGAGGAATGAGCGTTGGGGGGATAAAGGGGGACAGGAGCGATCACTTTGCATGGCAAGGTGACCGCGTTTGTAACACTGCCTGTGTGGTGCGCAGAGGAGCAAGGTGTAGTCTTATTTTAATAAATATTTCACTGTCAAAACTGGATGGGAGGACAAGTTGAAGTGTTCCAGCGCAACCTTCATGTCAGTTTTATATCCAAGATTCACATGTTGAAGAATGCGGTTGCTGTGGGCATCACACAAATACTTTCTGCCAAAGGTGACATCTGTGATGAACATCAGGTTACTGTCCATAATGGTGGTTATCCTGTATCAGAAGAGGAGGCGCAGCAAGCCGAATCTTCATGATATTTTATACCCATTTTGGGGAAAATGTAATTGGTTGCAGCACTACTCTCATGTTTATATATTACCACCACACAAGTAGAGAGGCCCAGAATGTACGGTTCCATTTAAGTTCTGGCTTAATAAAACGGTGTGATCCAGGTTAAAGAAAGTCTTTGCAACTACGTTGCAGTGCGATATTTAGAATAATACAAATCTTTTTATATTTCTTCAGAACAATTCCGATATCTTTCAAAGGGCATTTTAAACGGTATTGAAACCAGTTACTTTTTCTACTGCTTTATGCTACATGGGCACCACCTGCCCAGTCTGTGACTTGAAATGTGTTTTATTGTAACTGCACTTGTCATGTGTATTTAATGTCTGCCATTTTGATGTACACATTATGGAGCTCATTACTGCTCTTTATTTATAAGTCTGTTACAGATTATTTCCTCCTTACGGTTTTATTAAATGTGACTTTCAGCACTCTTTAGTGGTGTCTTTGTTTTATTTTGAAATGAGTCCAATAAGAGAATATGTAAGACCGCTTTTATATATAATCAGGGCTTCCTTTATACAAACTGGATGAATATTGGATTTTTCTTATTCATACATTAGGGACACAGGATGGTACTTCAGGTACATAGGGTTATGCTGCTGCCTTCAGGAGATTGGACACTATGCAAACAAAAGCTGCAGGGACAACCTAGTAGAACCCCTCCCACTCCCATCATGCCTCAGTTTTTTCCTAGTGTCTTCTTTTTGCTCTCAGCAAGGCAAACCCTTTTCCTTTTTTACCTGCTGGTGGAAGCTTGTGCCTGAAAACTCTGTAGGGAGTATACCCAGCAGAAGGAGGGTGCAGACTATGGTTTGGGCTTGCCCCCCAATTTCTACCTGTTATATCTAACCTGCTGCTGGGCTACAGTAAGTAAGGGCTTTACTCTTGTATTAGAGGGCCGAGTTAGCAGCCTTGTGTCTGCTAACTCTGCTAGCAGGTGTCTTGAGGCCGAATTTTCCTCCACTATTTGGATGTGGTATGTGCTTTTCTAATCTATATCTCAGCTACAGCTTTCTTTAGAAAAACTAACAGGGCTATTCACAGAAGGGTAAGAGTTTGGAGAAGGCAGGAGAAGTGAACAATCTAGGACAGGGGTGCCCACAATTTTTGTGTTAAGATCTACTTTTCATATGACGAGCTACATGAGATCTACCAACGAAAAAAACCCTCCCTTGCGCTCCTTCTCTCTCGCTCTCCTGGCTGTCTCTCCTGGCTGTCTGTCCTTGTTCATCCTCCTGGCTGTTTCTCCTTTCTCCCCTGGCTGTCTCTCCTCTCTCTCCTTGCTGTCTTTCCTCGCTCTCTTTCTCCTGGCTGTCATTCCTAATTTTCTCTCCTTGCTGTCTCCCATCTCTCTTTCCTGGCTGTCTCTCTTTGCTCTCTCCCCTGGCTGTCTCTCCGCTCTCTCCCCTGGCTGTCTCTCCTTGCTGTATTTTACAAACAGTGCAGTGCAACAGGCTGTGTATTCTTTGATGTAATACCTAGCACTTCAACCAATAGTATCCACCAGAAAGGTGTCAGGAGCTTGGCTCAGCAGACTCAGGTCTCACACCAAGGCGTATTGCATATGCGCGTCTGTCGCGCGTTTTTTTACCGCGATTCGCTGTAAAAAAGTCGCGCGACAAACGCGCGTCTGGGCCGCCGGCATCTGGAGTCTCTCATCCCTTCCTGGAGCCATAAATAAAAAAGATCAACGCACTGCAGCGCATGTGCATTGTGTGCACCACAATGTGTGTGTGTTATGAGGGGGGAGGGAGGGGTTGTGCTTTTTTTTAATTAGTTTTTCTTTACACATTTTTTATTTTGTTTTACATTTTTTTTAATTTTAATTTTTAACATTTTGTATTTATTTCTTAATTTTGTATTTATTTTTTTTACTGTTGGGGGGGCTACGGTGAAATATCTGGGGTCTAAACCGACCCCTGACATTTCCCTTTTGAAATAGAAAAAGACATTGAGGACACAGACTCCTCAATGTCTTTTTCTGCAGCCTCAGCACTCACTTAATGGGAAGCACTCAGTAGAGGCTTCCCATTCCATTCACAAACTGCTGATAATAAGATATTTACTATCAAGCAGATTCTCAATGGGGAAAAGCCTCTGTACTGAGTGCTTCTCCCCATTGAGAAATTCATGAATGAACAGGCTGTGATGTAAATCACAGCCTGTTCATTCATAACTTGGGACACATAGCACTATGTGTCCCCAGTTATTTACAAACACTGGAGTGATCAGACGATCGCTCCGGTGTTTGTCCTTCTCACACGGAGGATCGGTAAATATCAGGACGACAGTGGCTCCTTCGCCGTCAATTTTTTTTCGGATTCCCGATGCCTCAGCCTATACAAGCGGGGGAGAGCAGCGGAGACCCAGGCCCCCCAGTGCCGCGGGCCCCATAGCGACCCCATCGGTGGTAGTTCCGCCACTGGTTAGAACCCTTCCCCCAATCCAAGTTTTGTTTTTCTTGCTGTCTCTGCCCCAGTTAAAGAATTATGTCCACTGGAAATAAAAGGAAATTCCAATTTTGACAGCTATGGCTGAGACAGGTCTCTGACATCTTTGACAGAGAACTGTACAATTTGGGTTTCTCTTAATTTTTTGCCCCACTGACCAGTGAAGCGATTTATAAAAACCCCTCTTTTGGAAGATTGTCAATATTTTTGTAAGTAATCTACCCTTTCCCAAAATGTCCAAGTGTTTCCGATCTTCAGTTACTGTGAATTCAGCTATTCTGGAATGTAGGCAGTTCTTCTTTTTAATGGATATGTACGGCAAAATACTTTTGTCTTGGATAGAGTAGGGAAGGGTTACAAACGTTTCTACTTGTCCCCTTGGGGTGATTTGTCCTTCAACTCCTGTCTGGTAGAAGCCACAGGAAATCCCCCCCAAAGTGAGAAAAATGTATTAAGAAGCACTTCAGCATAAGAAATTCTGGTGATTATGTTGAAATCTACTTTAAAGAGACTGTTACCAAACCCTTCATTTCAACAAAGAATCCTCCTATAAGGTACTTTATGCCTGGGCTATACCTGGAAAGGCCTCCCTGGTGTAGACATCCAAAAGGCCTGAGACTGCTGCTGCATCATGACACTATATAGTCATTTTCCTTGCTCCCTCCCTCTAGCTTCATAGGTTATGTAGA